CTGTACAACTACCACAAAAATTAACTCAAAACGAATATCAGACCTAACTGTAAAATGTAAACTATAAAACTTCAAGAGAAGAAAATCTAGATGACTTCAGGTTTGATGATGATATTTTTGCTAAGACACCAAAGCCAAAATCCATGAAAGAGAAAATTGATAAGCTGAACTTCATTAACATGAAGAACTCCTGCTCTACAGAAGAGACTATCAAGAGAACTGGAAGACCATCACACACTGGGAGAAAGACATAAGACATAACTTACAAGGACTGTTATCCAAAATGTACAAAGAACTCTTAAAATTCAACAATAAGAAAGCTAACAACCCAATTAAAAAATGGGCCACAGACATTAACAGACACCTCACTAAAATGCACATATGGCAAATTACCATATGAAAAGACATTCCACTTCATATGTCATCAAATAAATGGAAATCAAGTCAACAATCAGTTACCGTTACAAACACATTACAATGGATGAAACCCAGAACACTGACATCAAATGCTGGCAAGAATGTGGAGCAACAGGAACTTGCTTCCATTGCTTGTGACATTGCAAAATAGTGTAACTACTTTGGAAACAATTTGTCAGTTTCATACAAATCTAAACATACTCTTACCATGAAATCCAGCAATTGTGTTCCTTGGTATTTAACTGAGTTCAAAATTTATATGTATACAAAAACCTGTATGAAGATGTTTTATAGCAGCTTTCTTCATGATTGCCAAATCTTAAAAGCAACCAAGATGTTTTTCAGTAGATAAATGGATAAGTAAACTGCAGTATATCCAAACAATGAACTATTATTTTGTGTTAAATGAATTAGCTAGCAAGCCATTAAAAGACATGGAAAAGCCTGAAATACATATTACCGAGTGAAAGAAGTCAATAAGAAAAGGCTACATACTTTAGTAACCAAACTATTTGATATCCTGGAAAGGGCAAAACTATAAAGACAGTAAAAAGGTAAGTGGTTGCCAGGGGTTAGGAGGGAGGGAGGGCTAAATGGGTACAGCACAGATGATTTTTAGCCAGGGGAACTATTTTGCATGATACTGTGATAGTGGATAGCTGTCATCATATATTATTCTGAGCCCACAGAATGTACAATGCTGAGTGTGAACTGTGGTGTAAACTATGAACTTTGGGTAATGATGTGTCAATGTTCATAAATTGTAGCAAATGCACCACTCTTTTTGATAGTAGGACAGGCTATGCATGGGGTGTGGAGGCAGAAGTTTTACAGGAAATTTCTATACTTTCCACTTTATCTTGCTGTGAACCAAAAAATTACCAAAAAAGTCTATTTTTTTAAAAAAGAGCTAAGCTTTCATTTACTTCATTTTGGGGTGACTTGTTAAACACATTTGTAACTATTAGGAACAAAAATATAATCTTCTTAATGTGAGTTCAATCCCTAATCTATAGATGAGCAGATCAAACATGATTTACTCAGTCTCCCAAAGGAATAAAGCTGGAATTAAAAATCAACCTGCCATTTATGCTGTGCCCAACAAATCTGTCACTTCTATACATTTGTTTTAGTTCATTTTCTGTTGCTATAATAGATTATCTGAGACTGCATGATCTATAAAGAAATGTATTTCTTACAGCTCTAGAGGCTGGGAAGTCCAAAAAGCATGGCACTGGCATCTGATTGGCTTCTGGTAAGGGTCTTGTGCTATGCCATTACATGGCAGAGAAGCAGAAAAGGAAGCAGACGCTTAAGAAGGAGACCAAACACAAGAGGAGGCTTGCCTTATAACAATAGCTCTCATGGAGAGGTGAGAGAGAGAGAGAACTTAGTCTGGAGAGAAAGGCATTAGTACCTCTTAACAACCAAATCATGTCTCACAGGCACCACTTCCTAGAGTGCCACATTGGGGATCAAGCCTCAACATAAGTGTTGATGGAAACACACCATATTCAAACAATAGCAAGGCTCTATTCGAACTTCTCACAAAATTCATCCCTACCGAGAGGTGATATGCTTGGGCGGGCCTGGGCCAGTGGTCCCTTCCTCCTTTCCTCACCTGTCTGTGTGTGTCGGGTTTTATAGCAGTGAATCCCAAAGGAGAACTTTATGGGTCAGTGGTAGCTACAGCACGTATCAGTACCTATGAAAGGCACTGCCTGCCTAACAGAGAAGATTGAAACAATGTATGTGTTTGTGTTTAAAAATTCCAAGTTGGCATTAAATGAATTTGCTAATAATAATACTCAGGAAAAAAGAAAGGGAGGAGCAAGTCATTGCTCTTGAGTGCCTGTTATGTGCCAGGCACTGTGCTAGATAACATTTTTGTTCACATTATTTTTGCTTAATTGTAACAACAATTCAATAGGGGATTATTACCCCTATTTTATATGGGAGGAACAGAGGCTCAAAGGGTTTACTTTTAATGGCAAAAACCATAATTACTTTTGTACCAACCAACCTGGTAACTGTCTCAAGATTACAGACATGCATGATCGGGATGAGTTATTTAGGTGTATCGGAGTCTTAGTCATCACACACACTTGCCTTAATGTATTCGATGAGGGACCCCCTAGGGTCATGAGCAACTCTGGAAGCCCAGGTTCTGGGAAATCATCTCACTGGCTATTCTCTAGAAGCATCTTCCTGAAGAGATGCAAACTTTTACGTTATCATAGATCCAAATCTTAAGCACAAGCCAAATCTTGATGGCAAAAAAAAAAAAAAAAATCCTCATGATGATGATTCTGTCAACTTAGACCTTCTCTGGCTCTATGGTATCATATTCACTAAATTACTTATTTTCATGGGAATCATAAATGAGTACTACCCCAGATTAATATGGAAACCAGGAATCTAAGGAGAGGAATAGTATTCTGGGACTTTCCAGCATTCACCATCATCTGAGTTCCCAGATTAGCTCCTTTTCCACTTACTGCTTCCAATGAATTAGAGCCACACTTATAAAAATGTCTTTACAGAAAGTTCTTAGTTTGAAAACATTATGGCATTACACAATTTACTTAGAATTCAGTTGTATGGGTCTTAAACTGGAATTTTCCACTGGATCCATATTTCCAAGTTAGCTCCCTAAACTCTCTGACCTATAATGTAGCTGAAACTTAATGTCATAACAGTAAAATGTAAATAATCAACTTAAAAATTTTTTGAATTTAGCAAAATTATAATAAATTATAACCTAGTTAGATATAACTAGAGGAAGAATGGAGATTTCTGCATATAGTTTTATGATTAGGGTTTTATACATTGTTTATATCACCTTGCCTACATTTCCCAGGCTAGAACTCAGTCATATTGACCTAGTTACACAAAATCATGATTAGAAATTGTTCTCTGGGAGGGGGAGGTGGGGAGGGATAGCCTGGGGAGAAATGCCAAATGTGGGTGAAGGGGAGAAAGGAAGCAAAACACACTGCCATGTGTGTACCTATGCAACTGTCTTGCATGTTCTGCACATGTACCCCCAAACCTAAAATGCAATAAAAAATTTAAAAAAAAAAGAAATTGTTCTCTTGCAATATTTCCAGAAATCAAGGTTTTTTGGTGAACAAATTACATTATATTTCCCACAAGAACTAAGGAGAAATTTCCCAGTGGAGATGCAAATTAGTTGAAAAATGAGTAGCAGTCATACAGGTATATATCTGATGGAGATAAAGAAATAAAGTTGATGATAGGCAACATCCATGGAATATCTGGATGGAGGCATTTTGGACAGATGAAAATCCTGGGAAAAGATGCAGACAGAGCCCAGCATCCAGAAAGAGCATAGCATTTACAGAGACCAATACTAATTATGCCAATAGTTATTGGGCCCATACCATGTGTTATCCCCTTTGTGAAATGCTGTTAAGTATTTTGGTAATGGTATTTGAAGGAGATTCTTAGTGAGTGTTCCCTACAAAACAGTTTCAGGAAGAAAGTTGTAGTGCAGATAGTTTATTTAGAAAGTGATTTCAGAAAGCAGAAGAGATGAACATGGGAAAACGAAACAGGAAAGGAAGGTAAGCCAATAAAAGATTGCATTATTAAGCTGATCCCTGATAGAGGCAACTGATGCTTGAGCTTAAAGCATATGGAAAATTGGTTGGTTTATGATATGTGTCTCATAAGTGAAGCAAGAAAACTTGAAGTTTCCAGTGCTTCCAATTCTCATACTACTCAGGTCCACTTCTGCCATTAGTCTGATCCATCACAGCATTCCCTTCTGTGTATCCAGACCCTGTGAGCATAAAGTAGCCAGAAATATAAATACCAGTAAGAGTTGGAGACGGAGGGTAGAAAATGAACTCCACAAAGATTCAGTGCACTGTCACATTAATGAGTATTTTAGTATTCACATAGAATATTAATGATAGTTTTAAAAGCACTGCTGGCATACCACAGACCCAGGGAGGGATATTCCTAAGTGAGAATGGTGCAGAAAATCCTCCTAGTGGACAGAGCTGTGATATGAATAGGAATCTTTATGATTAAGAGATCCCCATGCCAATAAGATGCTTGAGCTACCCAGCTACTTTACATAACTCAACTTTCCTTTTACCTGCACCTTGTCACAATCCACCTCATGTGACAGCCTTTATAAGTATATGTTACTGCATGTCAAAGAATATCACCACTGACTTTCCACAAGTGATAAAAGTTTTATCCCTTTCTATAAGTAATCCAGCCTTAAAATCCCATCACAGGGATCTGTTTTACATGAACACTCTTTAGTAACTACGGTCTTTCACATTTCTTTGAAAAATTGAAACTTAGTCAAGGATTACATAAAGGTAATTTATTTGAGAAGTAATCACATGGATCAAGAATGATGGAAAAAGGGAGCAAAAAAGAGAAGAAAATATATAAATCTGAGTAGCTGAATAGGCCATTAGTACAGTGGAAAAGTGTTCAACACTACACAACCTGCAGTGAAGGTTCATAAAACATATCGGAGCTATCTCCCACACGTGAAAGGTGGTTCCACGAATGCTAACACCCCAAAATTTTAGGCTTACCACTCGTGATAGTGAGACACTTCCTCAGAGTGCACCATGCTTTGATGACAGAGAAGCCCTGGAGAAAAAAAAAAAAAAATAAATGTACCTTGAGGACAAGATGAGGCATTTTCAGAATACACCTGAGTGAAGCTTGTCAAATTCAATACAGAACTGGTCATGGCAATGTGGCTGTGATTTAAATAAGAGTTTTATTCCTGCTCTCAATGGGTTATAATTAGGTTGGGTATATATTGTGGTTTGCTCAGTAAATCCTAGGGTTGTTATTTCTATTCCCAATTTCTCTTTCAAAAGGTTGAGAAGATTTGACACAGTAGAGACAGTGATACTGTATAATGTGAAAAGGAATTGAGTGAAATTAAACTTGACACTCAAAAGACCTGAACCTCAAGATCTTTTTATGTGATGAAAAATATTTTAGATTTTATCCATTAGCAGATGTCATTGATGGATTTGGAGCATGGAAATAACATGATCATACCTGCCTGTTAGAATGATAAGTTTGTAGGCAGCAAAAGATACTAGAACTGGTAGTATGAAGACTAATAAATAGGACTATTTTTAGTAAAGAGGTGAAAGATGATGACAGGAAACATCCAGACAGTAGAAACATACAGAGAATAATCTCTTGAAAGCTATTTTGGGGGAAAAGTCAATGGTTGGGTTTGAATTTGAAAATGAAAGTGTAAGAAATAGAGGAATCTAGGATTACTCCCAGTTGAGCAATTGGGTAACTTTATACAAGTTAGAAACACAGATTAGAAAAATGTTGCCTGGTTTGGGTAAAGCATGAGATATACAAAGCCCACTTGGCTATGTAGAGTTTTAAGATGGGTTGTCCAAATATATGTCCAAATATATGCTTGAATGTATCAAGCCAGAATTAAGAATATCAATGTGGATTTCAAGGGAGAGACCTGGGCTGGGTAGAGTGGAAATTAATAGCATATAACCATTATGAGGAGAGAAAAATAAATGATGGTCTTGGAAAGATTGTTCCTGAATCATGGACTTCTCTCAAGGGCAGCTCTCAGCAGCTTAGGGAAGAGAAGATTGAAAGTAAAGTAACACAAGTCTTTGACACTAGAAATAATGACGTGTGACTCCTAGGGTCACTGTTGTTGGGTTGTTTTTTCCCTTTGATCTGATAGTTGGAGTACCTGGAATGAATGGCTGGCATCCATGCTGAACTAGCAATAACTAATTTGGAGGAAACTATTTTCCCATGGGTCAGAGCAGGTCTCCATATTTAGATTTTTCTGTAAATAACAATAGCTACCAATTTTGATTGCTTAATGTGAAAAGCATTGGTTGAGCCTAGAGCTTCTCCAAAATCTACTTGTTCTAGATGGATTATAGTTAGGTTAAGCATATGTTCTGGTTTTCCCAGTCAGTCCTCTGGTTATTATTTCTAGTCCCAATTTCTCTTTCAAAGGTGTCTATGTCTGTCTAATAAACTGTATGGTCCTTCTAGGTACAAACACACTGAGATATTGATCCCTTCAAGAAGGCTAGGCAATTTGGTGTAGCTGGGGGCCCCAAACTAGTTTCCTCTGACCTTATCAATTTGTTTCAATGTGCAAAGCAAATATTAGACTTTTCCATTTATAGTAAGGTATAAAAATCATAGAGAATCTGGGCAACCTGCTGGCTATAATTATTCCAGTTTTAGAGATAAGGATATGGGTTAAGTGGTGCAACCAGGATCAAACAGGAAGTGGAATCAGATCTCTATAACTATGAAGCTTGTGATCCTTTCATACTTCCACTCTGTTTTCCAATCATCCTTCTAAAAGGGGCCCATCCATTAATTCACCCTCTGAGCCCCATGCCAATCAAATGCTTGAGCTACCCAACTTTACATAAGTTTTCTTCGACCTGTACCTTAGTGATGTTCACCACAGCCTTCTGTTTATGCTGAAATGGATGACATCAGAAAGTGTTCACGTTTCAAGACTACATAAAAAAGAGATGTCCTTCTTCTTACCTTTTCTAAACTATCATGCCATTTGGGGACCAAACCAACAGTTTCAGCAGAACCTAAAAACCAGCAAACTAGAATTTGGTATAAAGTATACTTCATTTTGCCGGCAATTTCCATCTGCACAGTTCCTGACATTGCATCTTCAAGTCAGATTGAAATACAGCTTTCTTATTGAGTGTACTCTTAAATGTCTCTGACATAAAAGATTTATGAAAAGTAGTTGAAAAACATAGTCAAGTAAAGATATGTCTCTAAGTGTCACATTTAAAAAAATTGATTATAAAGAGTTTTTCCTAAATATTTACCCATACATTTCAGTTCCTTAATATTTCCCCATGCATTGCAAAACTAGTTATGATATTCAGCCAGAATATTTTTCTTTCCAAAGTGCAAAATTCAATTGGAACTAAGCCAATAGAGAAAAAGACTTAAATGTAATTATGTAAAGAATTTTCCTGCTCTAATTTTTTCAAGGTTACTCAGTTACTAAGAGACAGAGTAGGGAATAAAGTCAGGTTTAGATTATTTCAAAAGCCCAAGATTTGAAATGATGTTCCCAGCTGTCTTCAGTGATACATGCCCACACTCATGAGATATACTTCTTCAGGACTGATCTATCTGTCTTCCTTTGAATTTCCAATCTAACTACAATCTCTACGTGATCCAGCTAATACTTTTTGGTCACCTATTTTAGCAAAGCTTTCCCCAAGAACTATGCAATCCTCTGTTTCCTAGCTAGCCTGGGTAAACCCCACTTATCCTTCTAGTTAAATTCTTTTGTAAAACAGTTTAATTGACCAGATACAAACTTGTAGTGACTAGAAGGCATGTAGTCATTGGAACAGAACACCCAAGTATTGTAAGTGAAATGCTGTCATCCAGAAAATTTGGTCTAGATTATCCTACTTATTCTAGTCCGTTAAGTAATTGGTTGTAATGTTTTAACAGTTGGGTCATGGTCCCCAATCCAGAGTTGTTCAATTTCTTTTGAGAGCTAATATAATTTAATACCTTAATGGAATAATAATTCATTTATTCACAGAATTTAAAATCCTTAAAGTTTCTCCTAGTAAAATGAAACCTATCTTTTAAGAATCCAAATGTGTTTTTTGTATATTTCATTAGGGAATGTTTAGGTATTAGTGTGATAAAAACATTTCAAGAAGATATACTACAACATTTATGATGTTTTATTAGTAGCATTATTTTCTAAATATTATTCTACTAAATTTTTGAAGCTGATTTTAAAGTTATCCATAGAAATAACAATATATAACTCATAAATTATACAAAGGCATACACTAAAACTTACATACATGCACACATACAATTATAACAAATATGTAATTCTGAGTATTGATGTTTATGAAGGACTAACTAGACAGATTGTTTTCTAGGCCATTTATATTTCTTAAATATAAGCCCAATTTCATGATAAGCCTTCATTTGTAAGTCCCATAGAAATAGAGCTAAGGTCATATTTGCGAATGGGGGATGAAATTCTAACAAGTAAGTAATTGATGAATATGCTTTTTATTTTTGACTGCTAAAGCTCATCTAGTCAGGCTGTGTGTGGTGTCATACACTGTAAATTGTAAACTTTAAGACTATAGAGAAATTACAGACTATTCTTTCTAAATTTCTATTTTTAATGATAAAAATGGTTCTCTCTGATTTATTTTTCAAATCTGTAAACAATTATCTACAATATAATACAAAATAATAACTTTTACTTTTAGAATTACCATTTGTTTTTTGCTGTTTTGGCTGGTGTCCGGTAAAAGTGGAATAGAGAACCAGATTTGATGTCACGGGAATTCAGCAAATCCACAAGCCTTGGAGGTCCTACCTATCAAGTAGCACTGTCCAATTACCAAGTTTTTATTGAACATCCTTTTTTTTTAAATTTTGGAACAGAGTTTCACTCTTGTTGCCCAGGCAAGAGTACTTGGCTCACTGCAATCTTCGCCTCCCAGGTTCCAGCGATTTTCCTTTCTTAGCTTCTTGAGTAGCTGGGGTTACAGGCATGTACCACCACACCTGGATACATTTTGTATATTTTGTATAGACAGGGTTTCTCCATGTTGGTCAGCTGGTCTTGAACTCCTGACCTCTATCTGCCTGCCTCAGCCTCCCAAAGTGCTGGGATTACAGACATGAGCCACCGTGCCCAGCCAAGCATGTATTTTATAACTCTATTATAGTTACCATTTCACTGGCTGTGTTGCATCATGGTGCTTGGCCCATTACTTTGCATCCCTACTGGCTCCCCTTTGCATATGACACTTATGACCAGAGCCAGGCTTTCTTGCTAGGCAGTAGCTAAATCATGAAGGTTCTCTTTCTCTCTCTCCCTCCTCCAATTTTTACAATGTTGCTATTGGGATTTAGCACCTAGGCAAAATTTAACCTATCTTGCTTCAGAATATCATTTTCTTGATCACCAACGGAAGCACCAGCCTTTTGCTTTTATTCTCCTTACTGTGCCATCTTCATAGTTTATATTTTCTTTCTCTTGTTTAAATCTTCCCCTCCTGATCTCCTTCTCACATTTTTCCACTACGACATTAAAATTCAAAATGCAATTATTAACATCCTCAACATCATCACCTAATGCCTCCCGTATATTCTGACTTGAGTTCCGATTCTTCCCTAGGCCCACTGTATCCCGGAAGCTCACTCACATAAAAAGGTTGCAGAAGGAGCAGGATTTTACTGATCATCCCAGTAATGTTCAGACCGTAACTCCTCTCCCCTTTTATTAATACCTTTTATACAGGATGAATTTCATGTGAACTGATTGTAGTCCCATCACTGCCTCTGCACTTATGGTTGACTTCATCAGGTCTACTGTCTTCCTCTCTACCACATTTCCTGCAATCATCCTCAGTGGACTCAATATTTTCACCTATCAAGTACCTTTGCCTCTAAGTTCCTTGACTTCTTTTCCCCTACTTTGTCTCAATCACTCAGGTGTATGAAACTTGTTCTCCCTCATAACTGGGCCATTTAAAAAATATCAGATTATTCCAGTTTACGTACTCTTAATAGTTACAATTAAGCAATTTCCTGGC